CTCCTAATTATGTTGGCTATCAGTCAGTACACACACAAGGTTTAGGATCTGTTAACAAAATAGCTGGTGCTGCTGGCCCCCTCTCTATAATACTCAGGCATGTAGTTCATTTCTTGCCTTACAGTGTTTTTGGGGCATTGGATTTAGGGGCATTGGATTCTATGGGTTTATTCTACTTAAGCTTTTATTCCCTTACTTCAAATTTTGTTTAAATGTGTTTCTTGTTGCCTTATAGCTCTGGATATCTAGCTGATATTTGTAGTTCTTACCTTTACCTACTTTCCCCATTGTCCTGTCTAGAAATGTACATGGTGGTAACTGCCAATATAGGCCAACCATTTTGTTGTTACTATTGGGTCATACATTTAATTAATGGTTGGGTGGCCCATCTGAAAGCCCAACTTTGGAATACAATTCACCTCCTAACCATACCTCTCAACTCCTAGATCTAAAACAAGCTCTCCAATCACTGTTTTCAATTACCTTAGGGTGCAGGCACATGATCATCTAGTGCTGGATCCCTCTCCTCATTGCTTATTTCCAGCTAGTTTTTTTGTTACATTTTTTTTGTTACACCAGATTTTTTATTTATGTAGGATAGACTTTCAAAAAGTATACAAAATAGAGTACAGTAGAAAATAACCACACACAATCAGAGCCTACACAGGTAGTTAGTTCATGAAACTTTGCTTGGGAGAGATGTGAGCTTGAGAGATGTGAGCTTATTGGCCAGGCAGCAGAGGGGTCATCTTAGGATCCAGAAGAGATCTGAAGCTGGACCAAGAGTGAAAGGGACCGGACAGCTAGGGTAACATTTGGCACTAAACTAGTAGTGTCCCAAGATAGAAATGACATTAGTAAGGGATCTGGATGGGGACCTAGCTACTAAGGACATCTAAACACCTAGCAGTATAGATTAGATGGGAGTGAAAGGGAGGGATGATAGGGAGATGCCCAAAATTGGGCTTTATGGTATTCACACAGATAGTAAATGACTGCATTATCTGTGACTATGCAATAAAACCATAGTTTACACATTCCAACTCAGGAGGTAAGCCAGTTCTGGCTTGGTCTTTGCTGTTCTCTGCTGATAGAGCAAACACAAGCCAGTTCTATTTGTCAGCTAGGTTTGCAAAAATCCACTGTCTACTAGGTACATCAGGTGAAAAAAGATGCCAAAGGGGCAATTTTTTCTAAAGAGACACTCATAAGAGCTTAACAGAAGCCTAATAGTTTACAGCAAAAAAAAGTTTCACCTTTATTTTCTATCTATTCTGCTCCTCCCTCCCAGCAGTGATTGGTAGCCTTCCACCCTACTTATATCTAATGAAAACAATAAGAAGAAGCACAGGAAGAATAAAGGGAACTAAGACTCAACTTGAGTAACTCCGCTGCTTCTCTTGTGAACTTTGAGAATGAATGTCTCCAAAATAGTAGCAGCTACAAAGGAGGGACTGTTTTCAAGTCTGTGTGAGAATAAGCTTGTTTAAGAATATTTAAATATTTGAATGTAAATAACCTGGCCACAGTTCTGGCTGAAAGTGCCTGAAGTTCAGGAGCTCTTTTAGTTTAAAGGATGGTAAAATGTAGCAAGCAATAATTTTTGCTGCCTTTGGATATTGTAACACCTGCTGATATATTGGCATATTATCAACTAAGATTTTTTTTTTATTTAATCAATATTACATTAAAGCTGGGTTAACCTCCCCCCTCCCTCCCAAAAAAGTTTATATTTAACAGCTTATCAATTCTCAAATGTGGTGGCTGCATTTGATTTGCTTTTGGGCTTTTTTTTCTGTATTGAACTGGCAAGTAACACACTTCTTGTCATAGGGTGTCTCCATTCTAGATGGAGGAGCAACGGAGGTACATTTGAACAACAGTGTTGTCAATCTGTGGAGAGAACAGAAAAATCTCTGTTGTTTTTTCCTTTGGGATAAAGGTTTCCCTTAAATATTGTATATAAACGTTGACCATTTAAGGAACTCCGGTCAGTGTTAAATGATTTGTTTCAACCCTACAGCTGCCACTTTTGCTGGATAGCTTGCTCTGGTAAAGAAAGTGGAAGAAAAAAACAGATCTGCTGGCCAAATCATCATGTGAACATAAAGGAAAAAAGCTTTTAAAAAGAAAACAAATGCAGCCATCACTTCTGAGAATTGTTAAGCTGCAATATAATACATTTTTGTTGTTGGGATTAATACTGATTTAAAGGCATTTTCAGCACCTCCAGCTTTGAGCTTTGTGACTTAATTTGCATAGAAACAAAAGAATAAAGTAGATTTAACTGTAAAGAAAATGTAGCAGCAGTGAGATTATTGTCTGTTGGTTATAAACTTCTTGCAAACAAACAGTCACAGAAGTAAAATCAAATTTGCCGATAAACTCCACAATACTCAATTGCTGCAAATGTTTCCCAAGAGGTAACGCGACATACGGAGATCTGAAGCTATAATTAACTTATCTCACTGCTGTACACTCCAAATGTGTCACTTAGAAAAGTAGCTCAGTTTGTTACACTAATACCTTTAAATGTGAAGACTTTTCCTCCTAAGTCTAAATAACATTTATCATCGCTGAGGTGTAACTGGAAGTTTAGGAATTTAGAACAGTTCTGGATAAATGTCATTGTGCCAATAGAAGTTTCTTGCTTTGCAGAATTGTCTGATCCTCTGTTCAACCTGTTGATAATAAAAAGTAGATATAAGACCCAGCTTAGTGACATTTATTCTGCTAAAGCACTGTATTTAACCTCTTGCTGACCATATAATGCATATACAGTATGTTTTAACAAAAAAGGGTGAACTTTATCACCCAGCTGTTGCAGATATGTGTCCATGGCAGCTCAAGGGTGTGTACTGAAAGCACACTCATAGCACACTGAATACGCTGTCACTGACAGATCTCAGTGACAGCTTTTGATTGGGCTCTAGGTCCTGTGACTATTGTGAAAGTTAATCACATTGTTCACCGATTCACAGTCACTCTGCCTCCTGGGCATTAAATCCCAATGAAAGAGTTCCTGGAATGGGGTGTTAAGGAGTTAATAACCTGACAATTTTTTTTATTAATAAAATACTCTTTTCAACTTTTTTCATGCTTTAATACAGTCCAGTGCTGTGGATCCCCTTCTGTCTATATGTATGCACTCCACCAATGGCTGAATGCCTTTTCTTAGGGCAGGTTTTTTAAATGACAACAGTAGACTATTGCTGTTAAATATGCATCAGCATAACCATTTTTTAGTCTCTCTCAATGCCACCAGTGAAAGGGTAAAATGTCAGAGACAGAGTGTTGTCTCCCATTAACAGGAAATGCCTGAGAGGGCCTTAATGGCATGATTACCAACTATTATTTTAAAGTGGCTGTAAACCATAGACAGGAAATATGAACAATGCATATCCCTCTACAGTGTGCACCTTTCTCCATCTAGAATACTAAATGTCATTTCTCTCTGCTGCTGCCTCGGTCCTCTGCTATCAGCATGAGTCACTTCTGACAAGTTTTCCTGACACCAAGAAAAATAAAGGTGACAGGAGAGAGAGCTCTAGCACACAGTCTGTTCCTATGTGCTGTGTGAAGGGGGGGGTGTGCAGGGGTGGACTGACCATTTGGAAACTCGTAGTGTTCTGCCGACAGTGACCTTTGAAACTGTGGTTCCAGCTCTCTTCATGTCATTGACCAGCTCCTCCCTTGTAGTTCTGGGCTGATTCCTCACCTTTCTTATCATCAGTGATACCCCACGAGGTGAGGTCTTGCATGGAGCCCCAGTCCGAGGGAGACTGACAGTCATCTTTAGCCTCTTCCAGTTTCTAACAATTGCTCCAACAGTTGATCTATTTTCACCAAGCTGCTTGGCTATTGCCCCGTAGCCCTTTCCAGCCTTGTGGAGGTCCACAATTTTGTCTCTGGTGTCTTTTGACAGCTCTTTGGTCTTGCCCATGGTAGTAGTTGGCATCTGGCTGACTGTGGGGTGGACAGGTGTCTTTAAAAAGCTCAGACAGGTGCTACTAAGTTAGATTGATGAGTGGAGTAGAGGTGGACTTTTTAAAGGCACAGTAACGGGTCTTTGAGAGCCAGAATTCTTGCTGTTTCTTAGGTGTTCAAAAACTTAGGTTCAGCAGTGCAAGACAAATAAATTTTTTAAAAATCGTACAATGTGATTTCCTGATTTTTTTTTTTTTTAAATTCTGTCTCTCAGAGTGGGAATGCACCTAAAATGTGAATTTCAGATCCCTCCATGATTTCTAAGTGGGGGAGAACTTGCAAAATCGCAGGGTGTTCAAATACTTCTGTTCCTCACTGTATATATATATATATGTATATACATATATATATATATATATTTTTTTTATATATATATCACATTATACAGACAAATTAAAAATTATTTTAAAACAGTTATTCTTTAAAATTTTCAACATATGTATAGGAAGTAGAAATTCCTTGAGATCATGTAATTAAAAGAGGTGAGCTCATTTAGAAGGTCGCTAAATTTTGTGACCAATAGTAAACTTTGAATTGTGACTGTTTGTTGACTGAGTGCTTTAGTAAATCTCTTCTCCGTCCAAAAGAAGTCGATCATGCAAGGAACTGCAACTGTTTGCCGACAAGGTACTTTAGTAAATCAACCCCATGGTGGCATCCTTTGGTGGCAATGCAGTCAAATCTCTATCCCTATGTTCTGTCAGTAACATTTTGGGTACCAAAATTTCTACCAACTATCTTTTTAGAAGGATGTACCAAAAAGTAAACTGACCCTTCAGAAGCATGGGACTAAAAGCAAACTGTCCATTAGACATTTGTCTTACCATCTGATAAATCTCATTATGAGACAGATGCCACAAGTTACTACCAGCAATACTATGAACTTACTTCTCACCCCGCGTGTGTTTACAGTATATACACTATATTGCAAAAAGTATTGGGACACTCCTCCAAATCATTGGATTCAGGTGTTCCAATCACCTCCATGGCCACAGGTGTATACAATAAAGCACCTAGGTATGTATACTGCTTCTACAAACATTTGTGAAAGAACGGGTCACTCTCAGGGGCTCAGCAAATTCAAGTGTGGTACCGTGATAGGTTGCCACCTGTGCAAAAAGTCCATCCATGAAGAGTCCTTGCTATTAAATGTTCCACGGTCAACTGTTAGTGGTATTATAAAAAGTGGAAGCAACTAGAACAGAAGCAATTCAGCCACTAAATGGTAGGCCACGTAAAATGACAGAGCGGGGTCAGCGCATACTGAAGTGCACAGTGTGCAGAAGTCGCCAACTGTCTGCAGAGTCAATAGCCAAAGACCTCTAATATTCATGTAGCCTTCAGCAACAACAGTGTGTAGAGAGCTCCATGGAATGGGTTTCCATGTCCGAGCAGCTGCATCCAAGCCTTACATCACCAAGTGCAATGCAAAGCGCCGGATGCAGTGGTGTAAAGAACTTTGCCACTGGACTCTAGAGCACTGGAGAAGTGTTCTCTGGAGTGACCAATCACGCTTCTCTGTCTGAAAATCTGATGGATGTGTCTGGGTTTGGTGGTTGTCAGGAGAACGGTACTTGCATGACTGCATTGTGCCAAGTGTAAAGTTTGGTGGGGGGGGGATTATGATGTGGGGTTGTTTTTCAGGGGTTGGGATTGGCCCCTTAGTTCCCGTGAAGGGAACTCTTAAGGTGTGAGCATACCTAGACATTTTGGACAATTTCATGCTGCCAACTTTGTGGGAACAGTTTGGAGATGGCCCTTCCTGTTTCCAACATGACTGCACACCAGTGCACAAAGCAAGGTCCATAAAGATATGGATGAGTTTGGTGGAGTAACTTGACTGACCTGTACAGAGTCCTGACTTCAACCTGACAGAACACCTTTGGGATGAATTAGAGTGGAGACTGTGAGCTAGGACTTCTCATCCAACATTAGTGACTGATCTCACAAATGCGCTTCTGGATGAATGGTTAAACATTCCCATAGACACACTCCTAAACCTTGTGGACAGCCTTCCCAGAAGAGTTTAAGCTGTTATAGCTGCAAGAGGTGGGCCAACTCAATATTGAACCCTATGGACTAAGACTGGAATGCCAAGTTCATGTGCATGTAAAGGCAGGTGTTCCAATACTTTTGGCAATATAGTGTATGTAAAACATATTTTTTTTGGATCAACATTGCAACTCTTTTAAGAAAAATGTGAAAATATCTAACCATGTTTTATTTTTTAAACTTGCTACATAATTTTATTTTCCTTATTATAAAAAGCTGTTCATATCCTACCTAATACATTTAAATTGTATTTGCTCTATGTATACTATACATTTGTGGCTACAGAGAAGACTTTCAGACTTGTATTCTAAAATGAAAACTTATTATATTTCAGCTCCATGTGGAAGTCGCTCTACTGGCTCAGAAGGCACCGTATTATCACCAAACTATCCCAAAAACTACAGTATTGGACACAACTGCGTGTATTCCGTTGCAGTTCCCAAAGAGTTTGGTGAGTAAAAATGATTGTTATAAAATACATGAACACATGTATGGACTCTATCTGAATTATTTGTGTTGTCTGTAATTGTAGTTTGTTTATATAGTTCTATACCCTTATGATGAATATGTGAAATGGCTAATCCTCAACAATGCCTACAGAAGCGATAACATCAACTGATTGGAAATAGTCAATAAACAAATACTAGATATCGTATGTACTCTCCAGCTCCTCAAGAAATGCACAGCCAAAAGGGAAGTCAAGGGAACCAGGACAGCGACAACCAAAGAAAAAGCTTCAGGGGTGCAGCCCTCCTCAGACGGGGAGATCAGCCACTAGATAGAGAATAAACAGGTGGCACACACACCTAGTGCATTATCCAAGGTTTATTGAAAGGTATGAAAGGTAAAAACATACTCACAGACGAAGCATGTATCTAAAAAGCATTTGCATAATGACGATGGCCACAACAGCAAGCAAGGTGTTCCCACTGTCAGTGCCGTCAAATTTCTGACGCGTTTTGGGGACGAGTCCCTTTCCTCAGAGCTACTGACCAGCCTCTGGTGCAGATGTGTAGTGGATGGATGATGGGAGCCTTGCTTGTGATGCCTGAGTGGGATGGTGTGGGAGTGTGCTTAATACTTATGGGGAAATGGTCCACACTCCCACACAATCCCACTCAGGCATCACAAGTAAGGCTCCCATAATCCATCCACTACACATCTGCACCAGAGGCTGGTCAGTAGCTCTGAGGAAAGGGACTCGTCCCCGAAATGCATCAGCCATTTGACCGCACTGACAGTTGGAACACCTTGCTTGCCGTTGTGGCCATCGTCATTATGAAAATGCTTTTTAGATACATGCTTCGTCTGTGAGTTTGTTTTTACCTTTCAATAAACCTTGGATAATGCACTAGGTGTGTGCACCACCTGTTTATTCTCTAATAAACAAATACTGTTGATAGCTTTCATAGATCATTCTAATCAGAAAATGATATGGGATATATTTATGTGATTTATTTTTTGATATGCCTTTGATCTGAAAGTTAACTTTTTTACATTACCAAGAGGATTTTCCAACCCACCTTGAAACAATCAATACATTTTTTATTTTTTTTTTTAAGTATAGACTATTCTATGGATGCTAAATTTAAGACATATTTAAGGGTTTGTTTTATTCCTGTTAAAGTAGGATCAAATGTACTCTAGGTTCCTTGAGCTCCTTCCATATTCTACAAATAAGTGCAACATGCTTGTACACTTAGCTCCAAGTCTGGCTTTCACAAGTGATGCAAGGGCCATGCTCCCCTTTGTCACTCCCATTATGGCTGCTGCCATCTTCTTATGTTCTTTAATATCCATCATCTTCTTACCACAGTCATTGGATGGCCACTGATGATGTAGCTCTTGTACTTGTATCTTCTAGGCCCGTGTGCTAAGGTGACATCGTCCAGCACCCAGCTCCATTCTCAGCTTCTTACAGCTGCCAAAAAAGGACCTGAAATTTACATTATACTAAGCATGTGCCGCAGACATTGTACACCAAGATTAAATTTGATTGCAGATAAGTAACGCAGTTTTTTTTAGGGAGAAGGGCCTCTAGCTAATCTATAGTTAGTTAATCTTTATATTTTTCTGAAAAAAAATAAATCAAAAGCCCTATTACCTGCAACAATGGTCATGTAACATGCCATAATCCTTCAGTATGTAGTGTGGGATTGTAACTTCTTAAAGTGCAAAACCCACTCCATTGGCTTTCAAAATAATGCATCATACATCAAAGGGTCCCCAGAGGGGTCCTCTGGTCTCATAGGGGTTTCTTGATGATGTCACAATGCAAGGGAGTGACAACAAGACTGGTCAGCTGCATGGGTAGCAGATTGCGATCATCAGTGTATGTTAATGTAAGAAGCACTGTGGATGGTCAAGTGTTAGTGGACTCAGGTAACCTAATGATAGTCTTAGAAGCTTTTTTTCATTTTAAAGAAATGAATGGCTAGAAGTGAGTGTGGTGGTAAACTGTCATTTTTTTTTTTCCCAGAGTTTTGATTCAGGAAAATATCTATGTTACTGGTTGTCTGATAGATCAAACATGACAAATCACTGATAACGTTTGTTTAGAGACCTACTACTCTTTATTTCCTGCAAGCAACTGCTAGGGATCCATCCTCTTTTTCTGCCTCTCATTGTTTTCCTCACACCACTGGGAGTGACATTTGGAGATCTGCATGACGATAAACATTTGTTTTTGATTCATTTGTTAAGTTAAGTTAATCATTAGTTTTGTCATATTTATTGCGTTAGAATGATTTTATTTCAGAATTTGTTTTATATATTCAGATTAGTTTTGTATATTCAGATTTGTTACATATATTCAGATTAGTTTTGTCTATTCGTTGTTCCATATTGATTTGTATTTTTGGAAGTTATTTTGGAAGAATGGCTATATTCCTTTTAACGCGTTAATTCATTATTTTGGGAAATTACTTATTCACTCTGAGTCATTCCCAAAAAGAGAAATGGAATTACCGGTTGGATGATATTGACTGCAGTAACAAAAGTAACGAATGGGACAAAATTAATATTGGATTCATTTGGTATTCAGAGATTCTAATGGATCCACATTCATCCAACCCCAACACAATAAATAGGAATCATTATTCTATTTCATTTTTATAACTTACTGTATTTATTGAAATATGTTTCCATTTCATATGTAGTGCATTTTTTATAGTAATGAAAAATGTTATTGCAAAATAAAAACAAAATGGATCCAAATCAATTTGGATCATTTGTTACGTTGTTACTTTTTTCGGAAGCTTCAAACATTAACAAAAGGTCCAAACTATTGCATCGTGTCATCCAAATGAAACTAATGAATACGAATGACTTTGTTGTTTTGTTATAATTTATTTTGGATTCGTTGAAATTTATTACTATTGTGATTTAGAGATTCTTATACATCCGAATCTCCGAAATAAAGAACATTGTGTTTCGAATTTTGATTTGTAACTAAACAAATCACACAATTCTAGTGAAATTTGCAGTTTCACAATATTTCATCGCACTGTACAGAAGAGTTTATGCGGAGAAGAACCGATCAGACTGGTGACCACAACAACTGGTTAGAGTCTTTATTATGAAGGAAAGTATCTTTGTACTTAGTCAATAACTTAGCTTGGTGATGTTCTGCAAAGTGCATTCAGAATGAGCTTTAGATTCTTTCCAAGCTTTCATGCTCATTTACACAGCGCATAAAAAAAAAACAGAGTCAGCCAAAGGATAAATCCACGTATGACCAACATTGGTTACTGCATTACTAATTAGACTACTGATTAGCTAACCCAAGACATCCCTTGTCCAGTGATTTAGTTTATTGGTTGTCAGCTTTTTCTATAATTTGCATACTGAAAAAATACTAATTAACATATCTCCCCTGGTAATGCAATTCAGTTTTCCCTATTGATCCCATTTATTCTCATGTAATTTAATATAAATGTATAAAATGTTATTGTGCATTATAATTAATATTACAATTTATAATATTATGACTATCATTATATTACAATTAACATTATAATTCATTAAAAATTCTTACATCATTCTCTGTTACTAAGTTTAAAGCAAACCTGTGGCTGTGGATAGTTTAGGCATGGTAAACTGGCTTCTTTCTGGGTGTCTGCATCTTTTTGGGAGAGGGACCAGAGTTGCCCTGTAAAAGAAAACTGCAAGAGCTAGTATGGAAACTGTAGTTTCTTCTTTTCCACCTTCCTATGATCAGTGGTGTGGCAATGATAAATAGGAATGCACAGTGGCAGAGAGGGGAAGGAAGAATTGGCAAGCATGGGAGATGTTCCATAAGATTAGAGTGCTCTTCAGAAAAAATGTCTGCTCAAGGCTTTTCACTCTCTCCATGCGCAAGGCCATGTCCTCCTCCACTGCCGCTCTTCTGCTTATTCAATCTGTTTCCTGTAGCCTCAGGTTGCCATAGGCAGACCTCCTAGTCATACATCATTACACTGATCTGGACACACAGATGATTTGTACAGAGAACAACACTTATGTGTTACATTAGCATATCTTTGGGCTGATATAAATGTTCAGGTGGATTTTTAACTTCTGTTTAGACAGACTTGTGATCCAGACAAACCCCATTGAGCAGCACAAATATTTTCTAGAACTTTACACAAACTATCAGTGCAGTCTATTCCAAGACACCCCACAGCCTATGATTGGGTAATGAAGCAGGAAAACCTTACTGATGAACTAATTTCTTTGCTTTCCCCTTCTGTGAGCAGGATCTTTGTTAAGCTGGCCATACATGGTACAGTTTTTTTTTCATTCAACCAGTGGGCTGAATGAGAAACTGAACTGATTTCCCCATCCATACATTCCAGGTGTATGGAAGGAATCCTCATTGTGTCATTGTTCTCTGACAGTGGGGAGACTCCCCTGCCCTTGGAATACAATGATAAGCATTGCAGTCCTTTAGCTGCATGCACTGATTGAAGCAAAATTTTTCAACAACCTGGTTCATGAGAATTCTATCAATAGATCAATTTCTCGTGAACAGGAACCGCCATAAATATATCACATTTTGGCCAATTCCTGTTGAAATGGACACATTTTGATCCATGTATGGCTAGCTTTAGACTGGAAGAGCCGTAAAACGAAGCACAGCCCCCATTACCTTAGAATTCTGACCTTTCCTCTCTCAATTTGTGTTGTAATGGTTCAATAGATTAAATTGTGTCATTTAATATGTACCTAGAGTTTAGTTATAATGACAAAATATATGAAGACACTAACAGAACAGGGAAGAAGTGACTTGATTTCAAGTTTTTGTTGCTTATTTTAAAATACAAATAAAACCCCCCATCCCAATGATAGGTACATACAGTATATGTACACAAGGTTACTTAATAGGGACTTTTACAGTATAAAAAAAGTACAAATTCTACCACGGTGGATTCTGGATAAAACTCTTATTTAATATCATATATAATAAAAAG